GCCCAAGGATGCCCATGCTCTCCTGTCCTGCCAGAGGCCAGGCCCTTGCCAAGCCCTTTCCAGGCACATGGCGCTGGCATAGCCTGGTCTTCTGCCTTCAGGAAAGCAAGACAGGAGTACTGTGGGCTGCTGGCCTGAGGATTTGCCGTGGAAAACACGGCTCTTCATGAGGACAGACCAAAGCAGGGCTCACTGTGCAGAGGACAGAATGCGGAAGCGCTGAAGTGCGCGAGGGTTGGGGCACAGCAGGAGGGGTTTCCTCAGGGAGCGCAAGCAAGTCCAGGGGAAGCAGAGGTTGGCCAGGACTCTGTCTGCACTGGCTCTGCAGAAGGTGCCCAGGAAGGACAGCACACGGCCCAACCCATGACTGTGCATTGCGCTACAGGTATGACGTGGGAAGAAGACAGATAGTCTACGTGATGCTGCCTGAGCATGCTGAACAACTGCACCGGGCTGAGAACCTGTATCCCTGCCGCATGCACCTGGAGCCCTGGATGGCCTACAGAGAGGACCGAAGGCAGAAGCCTGGCGTGTTCTTGCTGTGAGGAGCCCGCGGGGCTGAGGAGGGAAGTGGGATGGGCAGCTCAACAGAGAGAAGAGGCAGAAAGGAGCAGATCCAGAGGCACACAAACCGGGCCATGTAGGGGTGGGTGGAAACATGGAGACAGGATGGCTGCCATCCTGTGGACTTCCTGTAGGTAGAGGAGCAGGCAACGCACCTTCCTGGGGAGAGGAGGGCCACTGACACCATCATGAGGTGGCACCCCCTCTCCAGAGCCCTCGTGATGTTTTCTATTGGGGATGGGCAGCTCTCCTTCCTGTGGCTCAGAGAAATGGCCCTGAGAGGGGAGGCACTGGAGGAGGGCCACAACCAGCGTATTCCAAAGCTCCATGTCCACCAGGCTGCAGCCTCCCTCCCACTGTGCCCACCAAGAGGTAGGATACCTTTTCTCTGCAGGGGAGTCCTGAGGATACGGGTAATAGGGATACAGGGAGCAAATGGCCCTTTGTGCTCAGAAACAAAGCTATAAGGGAGCTAGTGGCCCTAGGACCTGGATCCTTCCTGTGGCAAGAGGGGACACTTGGGTAGGTAAGCAGAGAGAAGCCTCCCTCCTGGGGCAGGGTGGACAAAAGACATTCTGTGTGGAGGGCCTTGGGCATGAGAATTCACAGGAATGAGAACACTCAACTGACAGCATTTTCATGTAGAGTCTGGTGTCCTGTTGTTCCCATTTAGACTTCAAAGGTCATCATCTCAGCCCATGAAGGCCACTCTGAGAGGAGGACGTGCAGCAGGACCTGCAGCAGCCTGCCTCCACAGGCACACTCATCTCCCAGTGACACCTGCTTCCTTTTAGGGACCAGGACTGTGGTGCTAGATTTGACTCCAGCTCTGCTCTACCCTGCAGGAATGGGCCTGAATGGCGCTATAACCGACTGCAGCTGAACCCCAAAGTACTGTCCCCAAAGGCTGTGCAGAAGTTTCTCCCAATGGTAGACATAGTTGCAAGAGACTTTTCAGAGACTCTGAAAAAGAAGGTGCTACAGAACGCCCAGC